TATATATATATATATCCTTCCCCCTTATCCATATATAGATATGGATATGGATAAGGGGGAAATATGTTATGTTGGTTTACTCCCAACAGCTACAGGCTTCGAATACTTATATACAAGGATAGTTCCATTCTGTTCTCTCTCCTTCCAAGGCGGTACCCGACGTTCAAAATTCTTCTTCCTCGTCAACGGCGAAGTGGTTTTGCCTCTTTCTGACGTTCCAATGTAAACACTCAGCCAGGCTTTCGAACCAATCGCTGACGGGATCTTGGAAGCAGATGGAAGGGAGAGGGTAGCAAGAGGTGGTGATGCTGATGCTAGAAGGAAACCAAGAAAGACGGCCAGTTAAGACACATCCAGCTGGAAAGGGACGGCCCCTACGCTTGGTCTCCCAATTATTTTGAAATTGCTTCGCGTTGAGTTGTCTGGGGTTTGAATCAGGGCGGCTTAAAAGCGGCGCTTTCCTAAGGCCAAAGAGCCAATTTTGAATGCCGGCCCTTGGTTGCTTTTTAACCCTGCATTTTGGGCATTTCTTGATTATTTAGGGGGGGAAAAACCCCTTTCTTTAGCCAATTCTGCCTTCATCCAGAAGAACACCCTCACCTGTCCCCGTGGCAGATCTCCTGCCTCTTCCGCCCGTCAAACGAAACCCACGCGGTGTTCCTGGCGTCTGGAGACAGCATGATCTAGGATTGAGAGAGAGGAAGAAAGACCCATGATTGCCAAGTTTGGATCCGGTGATGGAAAAGTATCTCTGAGAGAAATAACAGCTTCTAGACACGATGGCGATATGATTATCGCAATAAGTTTTAAGGTCCTACCTTCAGGTCCACTCCAGCTGGGACGACGATGGGCCGGAAGGAGAGGGAATGAGGACAGATCGGGGTGATCATGATGGCGGGGACGTTCGGATGGATCATTGAGGCGCCCGCGGCAGCCGCGTATGCCGTACTGCCGGTCGGCGTGGAAACGATGACGCCTAGTGGGAAGGAACGATCACTGTTTACCCTTAAGAACAGTGGGAGGGGACAACTGGTGACCCACCAGCTCTGTGGGCTTACCATCGCCTTGCACAGTGGTAATAAGGTGGCCATCAAGAAAGACATCCACGTTGGAAAGATAAGAGGAAGGGCCTCGGTCCACTACCACTTCATTCAAGACCTGGAGAACAGAAAAGCATGTTATGAGTGAAACGCACCAAATGTGGCCTGTTGTGGCAGTATTTTCAACTTTGGCCCTGTTAAGATGGGTGGACGTCAATTCCCAGAATCCCCCCGCTGCCCTCTTAAAGGGAGCAAGGTTGGAAAACACTGGTGTAAGGACTCCAAGGGGGTCTAGATTAGAACCGATTCAACAGGTGAACATTTGATTTGAGGAATCTCGATCTCATAAACTTGAGAGACAAAGAAAGAAAGAAAGAAAGAAAGAAAGAAAGAAAGAAAGAAAGAAAGAAAGAAAGAAAGAAAGAAAGAAAGAAAGAAAGAAGGGAGGGAGGGAGGGAGGGAGGGAGGGAGGGAGGAAGGAAGGAAGGAAGGAAGGAAGGAAGGAAGAC